CAGAAGGACGTGTAAGAAAAGACATAGGAAAGGTTTGTAGAGCAAATACCACAAAGTGGAGACGTGGATGGAGCAGAGGAAGAGAAGGAAGGCCAGATTCCAGAGGGTCGTGAAAGCAAGGTTGAGGAGCTTAGAAATTTACCACTGGGAATGGGCAGTGGGCAGACAGGGAAAAGAACTCAGGATCAGATTTGCACTTCAGACAGATTACTCAGGCTCTGATATCCAGAATAAACAGGCCAGAGGGAAGGTGATGATTTGCTAGGGTATGGAGCAATCCTTCGAGGGCGCGTATGACCCCGCTTTTCTGTAGATCACACTGTCAGTGTCTATCAAGCTGAATCACTCTTAGGAGGAGCCCAGGTCTTCCTTCCTATGGGTGACATTGTGTGTTCTTGTTATCTATGGTGGAGGATTGACCGTGACAGGACTAAGGACTTAAAGCAGTGACGTTTACTTGTTCATGCGTCGGCAGTATGAGCAGGACTTCGAGAGAAGCTCAGCTCTGCCCTGCTGAGTGTCGCCAGGGCGGGGGGAAGGAAGGTGGGCCTGGAACATCCGTGGCTCCATCACACGCGGGTCTGCCCGCCGCTGCGTACTCTTGCCTGGAACCTTAGTTTGGGCTATTGGCCAGACCCCTCTGCAGGGCCTGCCTTGTGTCCTGTTCCTTATTTTCTCACATCGTGGTGACTGGGTCCCAAGGCTGAGTGTCGTAAGAAAGAGAGGGCTGTCATGTCCCTAAAAGCTAGCCTTGGAAGTCGCCGCACCCTGCCTTTCAGAGATGCCTCATGAAGGTAAGCTCATACCTGAAGAAAAGCAGTTGGACTCCACCTTTTTATTTATTCATTTTCAATCGTTACCCGAGGACATGTTTATTGATTTTAGAGAGAGAAGAAGGGAGAGAGAGAGAGCAACATCAGTGTGAGAGAGAAGCATTGATTGGTTGCTTCCTGTACACACCCCAACCAGGGATCAAACCCGCAGCCTTTCTGGTGCATGAGCCTGGCCAGAGCCAGCTTCCACCTTGTGACGGGAGAGGTGTCAAGGCCTTCGCTGATGTGCCCGGTGCCTCACAATAACAGCAGACACTTGCCAAGCAGTTACATAGCAGGTCCTGTAGTTGACACCTACATTGTTTTGTTTGATCCTCATGACAACCTGTGTTATTACACCCTCTTCACATGAGAGAAGATCTAGGCCCATTAAGTCAAGTGTTTGACCTAAGATGACACAGGAAGGGGCGGAGCCAGCACCAGAACCTGGAATATCGCCCCCTCACCCCCCGGGTCTGTGCTCTTAAGTGCTCAGCTGTGTTGTCTGCTGCAGAGTCTGGAACACAGCTGGGCCAATACATTTTTGCAGAATGAATGAATGATCTGCTTTTCGGCATTCCCCACAAGTGCTAGTAAAGACATTCCTTAAGGGAATGGTACAGATGGTTTCATAGCCCACCCGTCAACACGGGTGGGGACATACCTCTGTGCAAGTGAAAAGGGGCAGTCATGGATTCCAAGGGAGCTGCCTTCCAGGTGGGAGGGGCCGTCGGGGACCACATTCCCCTGCAGTTACATAGATGTGCTACAGTGGCAGCTTCTCTCCCCTCCCCCCCCCCCCCGCCTTCACACACACACACACACACACACACACACACACTCACGCACATTGAGGTGTATATATTCTATTGTGCTTATGTTTTTTTTCCCTCCCCAATAGTATCTCAATAGTATTTACTTTTGCTTTAAAAAAAACACAGAAGAGATACTATATTTTCTATGGAAAGTGTTTTCTTCCAGCGCTTCTTACATGACACACAGTTTGGAATCTAGGAAGAGCCACCTTGTGGCAAAATTTAGCATTTCACAGGTATACATAAGTTCTAAAGAAAAAACTTAAAGCAGTTCTACAAGAAATCCATTGGACAGCAAAATAAAAGATACTGATACTATGTATGCCACTTAATATGGTTTCTGAGGTATATAGTTTGATTATAACATTAGCAAATATTAATCAGAGATATTTCTTGAGAATTCCAGTAGTGTAGAATAAAATATGCAAAAGATATTACATACAGTAGTATCTATATTTAAAATGCTTATTTCAAGGTCCCACTGGTCTCCTGGTACACCCAGTTTCACACTAATTTGAACCTTAAAAGTGAAATGTAAAAGTATATTCAATTAGATTTTTCTTGATATTCAATCGCAGTTAAATTTCATTATGTATTTTATTATATATTTAATACAGCTTAAATTTTATATATTTTAATAGATTTACATACAATTAGTTGTAGTCAAGTATCAGCGATTGAGAATCCTCAGTTTTCTTTCTGGTGTAATTATCGTACTGAGGCCTTTGCAGTTTCTTGTGTTTCTCCCTCATGGCTTGCAAGTGGCTGAATTCTCCTTCCCGCTGACCCCGCGTTTTCATGTCTTTCATAAAATCTCCATCTCTCGACTGTGGTGGTAAATTTGCAAGTCTTAACAAGTCCTCATAAAGTCTGCTGAGGTCTGAGCGCCCCCCCCACTGTGGGAGCACCCCCTTTCTCCTCCCTCCCCAGGCACTTTGAACACTTCCTGGGAGCTGAGACCTGAACTCAGTATCTAACTCTGTCCTTCATTCCGGTGGTTGTGGGGTCCCGCAGGTGGTGATGGGGTGCGTGTGGTGTGGACATGGAGCAGGGAGGTCCGGAATCTGGATATCATGGTGGGTTGGAAGGAGAGAGAGAAACACAGGCCCGCTTCTCCCCACCCATGCATCCCTCCCTCTCCCTCTGGGTTCTGCTCCCTCCCCATTTCACACGTTTCTCCCTCTCAGACCTCCAGGGGTGTACGGCTTTGGATTGGGCTCCTTTTGCCTGTGCCTCTGGGACTCCCTGGGTTGCCCAGTCTTCAGTTCCAAACCTGGGACACGTGAGATGAAAAGAAAACAGGACTCTCATGACCACCTGGTCCCGTGGATCTCTGTACCCCCCTCTGGTTGGCCTTCTCCCCACTTTTCAGCATCGTCTCCAGGGTTTTTAGTTGCACTTTGTGGGGGAAGTAGGGGAATGTAGATGTACTTTGTTTTTCGTGGGAGCAGAAGTCTTACATAACTTATTTTTTAAATTTGCTTTTTATACATCATTTATGCTAGTCTGTGAAAAGCAGATTCGGAAGGAGCTGGGAGACGAGTTAAGAGTTGTTCCCACCCCTCCGTGAAGGGATGATGTTGGCCTGCACGCAGGTGAGGGTGGTGGATGTGGAGCGGAGCTTATGTTTCTGCTACAGAATGATGCGATTGTGGAGGCTGTTTACTTATTCACTGTTCCCCGTTTCATCCAGAGTGTGTTAATGGGGTGCATACCAGGTGCTGGAGCCTGATCTAGGCACTGGCCAAAGAATGGGGCGCATTAACATTGTTCCCGGCTCTGTGGGACTTACTGCCTGACTTGGAAAGATACATCACGAACAAGCACAAAAACCCGAAGCCCAGCTGCCGCGCAGGCAGAGCTGTGCAGGGGTCACGCGTGGTCTGAAGAGAATTGGAGAAGATGACGATGGAGCTGAGATGAGAACAGTGAGGGCCAGGCAGGTGCAGATCTGGCTTAGGTGGCAGACGAAAGTATGGCAACTGGGTCAGATTAGAGGGTGTAAGAAGCAGTTTGATGATCAGATCAAGATGATGTGAGGCCTGAACTTCGGTGAGGATTGAGGGCATAGGGCTGCGTGAGGAGGTGGGGTCCTGCTTGCTCTTGGGCTGGCGACATGGGTGCCCCAGGCAGTAGGAGTGTTTGCAGCTTCCTCGGGCAGCCAAACTGTGAGGGTTGGGGGGGGGGCAGGGCTCATCCACGATCACGGGGATTCAGTCCTGAGGGGCCACAGGCAGCAGGCATGGAGCTCAGGGAAGGTTGTCTAATCCTTTCCATCTGCTCTGAATCTGTTTTCACCAGAATCACATTCTAATTGCCTTGTTTAGTGGGTATTTATTAAGTGTATGTGAACAGCAGTCTGTGCGCTGTGATAACTGTGCCCAGATGGCAGCGCCACGGTTGTCGGCTGCCCGTGGCTGCGGAGAAGGCGGGGCGGACTGGCTGCACTGCCGTGGCTGCCGCTGTGCCGTGGCTGCCGCTGTGCCGTGGCGGCCATGCCGAGAGGACAGTGTACGTCCCCGGAGAACACACCTGCGAACTGAAGACACGCCAGCCTGCAACATGATTGTTTTAAATTTTGACTACTTTAAAACACACTTCTATGTAAGCAAAATAGTAAGGATTTTTTGGAAGAAGAAAGAACTAAAAAAAAAAAAAGCCGGAAAAAGGACGTTCATGTGTTCTCCCCGCCGTTAGAGAGTAAGTCTTCAAGGTAGAGATTGTGTAGAATATGCCATTGGGTTATTCGTACCTACACAGCACCTGCTCGTACAGGTACCAAGTACAGGTGTGTCCCATGAACGAACAAATGAACAAATGTATGAATGAATGAATGAATGAATGAACAGCAAAATGAAATGTTTACGCTGATGCTCTGAATACCAATTAGCAGATTGCTGATCACACAAGTGCTCATTTCCAATAATGAATGTGTGTGTGTGTGATATTGTACAAGTGTACCTGTTGCCCTACGTGACACAGAAATATCAGAAGGCAGATTCATCACGGAAGAGTGTTGTCTACTTTGTCCAGTCCTGACTGGTCCATCCACTCCCTTCTTCTCTGTTAGCTCCTGCCCTCGGAGTTGAAGTTCCCAAAGGATTAGGGATTTTAAACTGCTTGCTGCACAGCACCCAGTTTCCCATCCTGAAGGCTTGGTTAGTTCTGGAATATCTGTCGGGGTGCAGTTTCAGAGTAGGGCTTGACTTTTCCGCCGGGGTGGAGCAGAGGTGAGTCTGGGAGGGACTGGCCCGGTAACAGCAATTTCTATTTCGTATCTTCAGGGTGCCTGGCATTGTACTAGATGCTTCATACTGTCCCATTTAATTTTCAAAACAACCTTCCAAATACTGTTCTTGCTCTTTTTCTCCAGATGGACATTGAGTGTTCCAGCTCTGTGTCTTTACATCAAAACAACCATGTCTGCCGACGGACCAGAAGTTCAGACTGGGACGGCGTGTCTCTGCCCATACGTTGCGGCCCCCGTGGGAAGACAGGAGGGCTGGGAAGACCCGTGGCTCACAGGTGCAGTGGTTGATGTCAGGAATGCTGAGGACCTCTGTGTGACCTTCCCACATAGGTGGTGCTTCTGAACAGCGTGGCCGATGGAACTCCGGTGAGTGGAGAGAGAGAGTGAGATACAACTTTTATGACTTTTGGAAAATAACATTTGAGCACACACAGCCTCAGAGAGGTTAAATAACTCTCCCAGTCGAATAGCTAGAAAGTGGAGCAACCCTCACAGATGAGCAGATTGATTTGTCCTACTTTTTGTGCTTGACCCTTGATCACCCTGTGCAGCAGTATTCCAGCATCAGGACAATCTCAAAAGAACTATTGTGAATAACTAAGCAAAGAAAGTTACATAAACTGAAATTCAGAGTTTTGAATCTCACAGAAGGCCTCAGGTTTTCAGATTTGCAGGTCACTGAGAATAGTTTGTATCTTTTTTCTTTTTTAACCTTTCTTATGTCACCTATTCACTTTTTACCTTAAATTATGTCATTTGTGCACATATAACTCACCACCTCTTCTGGTGCTCAGAATGGTTGCTTGTCTTGTTCAGGGCAGGATTTTGTCTGACTGAACTCAGACGAGGCCTGAGCAGCTGACTGACGGCAAACCTGCATACGTGTCCGTCAGGTGAAGATGTGGGTTCATGCCAGCAGAAAGTGACAGGGCAGTATCACGTTGTCATTGCTGACCTGCTCTGGGGTACTCGGATTGCAGGTATTGTGAGGACCAGGGTAGGTATCAAGTGAAAGCACTTTAAAGTGGCAAATTCAGATGTGATTGTGATGAGTGTGGGAGTGGCGGGTTCAGTCCTGGTCTCTGGTGGATTGAGGAAGGCCTGGAGACATTCCACTCCTGGTCTTTGACCTGTGGCATAGACTGGTTATGTAGGAATAAGATAAGTCAAGATCACAAGATGAAATTAGATATAGCATTGGAGAGTTTGGAGATCTCTTTCTCAGTATGACTATCTATCTATCTATCCATCCACTTATATCTATCTGTAATTTTAACATAACTCCTAAGATCACGTTAGTTTTTTGTTTTTTTTTTTTTTTATCCTCACCCGAGGATATTTTTCCATTTTTTGTACAGATAGAGTGGGAGGGAGAGAGAGGAAGGGAGAGAGAGAGAGAAACATCGACGTGAAGGGACACATCGAGTGGCTGCCACCCGCACGACCAACCAGGGCCGGGGACAAACTGCAACCGAAGTACGTGCCCTTAGCGGGAACCGAACCCGGGTCTCTCTGTACCGCAGGCCGACGCTCTAACCGCTGAGCCAAACTGGCCAGGGCTCACGTTAGTTTTAATATTGTTTTGCTTGTACTCAAAAACATATCTTAGAGATCCCTTCATGTAAGTGCATGTGGATTTATCAGGCTTACCTCACTGAAAAAGTTCTGTGGTGCCCACACTGCATTATATTGAGATAATTTCTTATACGTGGACATTAGTTGATCCTGCTTTTTCATTGTAATGGAGATTGTAGATAATGTTGCAATGACGTACCCGTGCATAGCAAGAATTTCTGTAGGATGGATTCCTGAAAGAGAGTTATGGGGAAAAGGGAATGCTTTTTGGTTTGTTTGTTTAAAATTTTGATGGCAGCCTGGCATATTACTCTCTCAAATGGCTGTGTAGACATACGCCTGCCGATACTTGCCTGCATCTGTCCATACCGACTTTGATGTGGTTGAGCTCGGGGGATGGTAGCTCCATAGAGTAAAGAATCCTCCTGAGAATAAAGGAAGGGTTTTGAATTGACATCTAGTTTGAAATTCTTACTCAGCCACTAACTAGCTGTGTGGTCCTGGGTAAAGGACTGGTCCAGCCTCAGTGTCTTCATCCATGAAACACAAGCAATGCAAACAACCTTTCTGGACTGTCGAAAAGAGTGAAATGAGATAGCTACGTATGTAAAGTGCTTGGTGAAATTCTTGGAACTAAGAATTATTGTTAAATTCTTTTTATTGTTAATTTTTTTCCTTTCCTTCATCAAATTTTTATTTAACTATATTACCTCAAAATACAACCTTTCTGCCTTTTATTACAGAGTGTAGCTTGATAACTACGTTTTCAGAAGAATGGCATTTCTTCTGAAATTATAGCTTAACTTTAAAAAATATATATTTGGAAGAATGCATTTCTATGTTGCTGACTTCAAAAATCCACATATTGGACATTATAGTTTAAGGAACTTCCTTTTAATTGCTCTCTTGACCATGTAATAACAATCATTTTTCTCGATACATTTGCATCTCACAAAACATGATCTACCAGTGCGATCGCGTGGTGGTCCTGGAGGAAAGCTGTCTTTCCTGTTCATGGCAGATGCACTACCTTCAGGAAGTTCTTAAAAAGCTGGACTTTCTACCCCTTTAATGTAAAACATTCCCAAGAAAAAGATAAAGGACAACATTAAAATTTTACAATATACTATAACCCTTGATTGTGTTTCTGGAAGCTGTTTGGGCTGAATAAAATTATTTGGTTTGTAATGAGTTTTAGAAGAAATGAAGAGAATGGAGGCATTGGAAAATAAAGTGTCTCTTAATTGAAAAGAGACTATGATTGTTTCTTTCCAATCTGAATCAAATTATGACTGGTTTCAAGCAATTGGATGGGGGAATTATTCTCTGGAAATAATGACTTCATTCTATAACCTAAGAAACATAAGTTAATAAGAAAAAGAACCCATTAGGTGTCTTTCTGCTGACATAAATGATTTGAAAGTGAAAATGTTTTTATTGTTGTTCATCTGTAGAATTCATTTTTTTCTCAAAATAGTGTATAAGCATTGAAGACAGGTGTCTTACTGTTTTCTGGAGTGTTCATCAGGGCCACTGTGAGCTATAGACTAACTAGGCAAAGGGAATGAAACTCTACATATGATATAAAATATATATATTAGGGTAAACAGAATGTTTGTGATTTTAATTTATTTACTTGTATAGAAGTTTCAGGAAATTACTTTTTGATATACTATTTGAGATGAATATAATATACATTTGCAAGATTAGTTTGCATTTTCAGAACATGCACACAGACATGCACAGCCTCAGCACACTGACACGGGTGCCCCAGTGCTGACGCTTACCAAGGAAACAGTGCACACGTTTCCTCAGGGGCTAGGAAAAGGAACACATTCAAGTATGTATTTTATATTATTTAGGGAAAATAATCTCCCCGAATTTCAATACTCACTGGATCTTTAATAATGTGAAATACTATCTAATTTTAAGCTCAAGAACAAATGCTAATTGTCCAGATCTGGATGTTAGAAATCATTACGAAAACCTTCAGTCATTTCCGTTGCCCATTTACTGGTACATGGGCCATGGAAACCATCACTCAGGCAAAGCCCTTGAACTCTCAGAGGCTCGTCTGGGGCTGCCACCTTTCGGAAGCTGGGAAATGTGGTAAAATAACATAATGCTCATCTGTCTGTCTGTGTAGCTGTCTGTCTGTGTAGTTAGCACCCATCTGTCCGTCTGTCTCTCGTCACTTCACCGATGGTATGTACACTGTTTAAGTTACATTTCTTTCTCATTTTTTATCTTATTATTTTTATCTTCACCTGAGGACTTTTTTGCATTTATCTTCAGATAGAGCGGGAGGGAAAGAGGGGGGAGGAGAGAGAGAGAAGCATCGATGTGAGAGAGAGACATTGACTGGCTGCCACCCACACGACCCCAACAAGGGCCGGGGACAAACTGCAACTGAGATACGTGCCCTTAGCGGGAACTGAACCTGGGATGCCCTGGCACGGGCCGATGCTCTAACTGCTGAGCCAAATAGCCAGGGCTCTTTCTCATTTTTTAGATAACGTTCAGTAGGTGGACTTTTGAGCTGGAGGCTCTGGGATCACAAGTCCACGGACATCACTTTGTCTGATTGCTCTTGGATAGTTGTGACTGTTGGAAAATGTTTTCTTGTTTTGAGCTGAAACTTAACCACCTTTCCTGACGTGTGCCAGGCGCATTCTCTCCTGATCTCACTTGATGGCCTCCCTGTCTTGTTTCCCTTCATTGTCCGCTCATTCCTCTCGTCGGCCTCCACGCCCGGCTTCGGGTTCTCAGACAGCGGCCCCTGAACGAGGAATGCTGTCTGTACAGTATGTGTCTGGATCCCCCTCCCTGGTTACTTTCTTATTCTGAATTCTGAATATTAACCTGATTTTCAATAAATCTTAGTGGCAAGCACTTCTTAAAGATGTCACCAACGTGCAGAGTAAGGGAAACACATGAAATAAATTTGAGATTATAAACCGGTGTGATGAAAACAGCCTCATGAATCTAACTCTGATTTCTTCTGTATGCTCCACTCATAGACACATCTTCTGAAACATACCCTGCTCAAGTGAACATCTGAGAACCCATTGGTGTCTGCGCCACTGGGGGTACAGGGGCCCTTGATCCATCTCACCAGCGGGGCCTCTCGTCCCCGGGGCGACGCTCCATCCGCTGAGCCACACTGGATGGGCAGAATGAATACCCTTGACACTTGGTAATCAATGGGGCAACCGGCATGCATTGGGGGTGACCTGGGTAGTGGACAGATGGCCGCCCCATGACCAGTGGAGCCCTAAGTTTCAAAGCTGCTATTGACACATCAAAGCAAACTCTGCATTTATATGCAGATCGTGTGCAGATCTCCCCACAGCTTCACTGCTGAGCAACTAGGCTCATTGAGATGAACCTCAGCCACCCCCATAAACACTGGGGTCACCCTGAATAAACACTGCGTTGAGGCAGCAGAGAAAGACACGTAGCTCAGAGGGGAGACGTTGCTGAAGGGTAAAGGAGACTAGACCCGAGATGTGTCTCGAAGGGAGGTGACTGAATGAAGAGGAAGACAGAGGGCTGCTCTAACCACTGAGCATACTGGCCAGGGCCGCACAGTCCTTTCTTAATGGTCCCGAATACCACTAAGAACACTGATTCTTGCTTAGGCTTTACTGATGCAAAGAAGAGGCTTTAAGTCACAGAAACCCTCACAACCACTGCCTGACCTGTGCTCACACCGATGGGCACTGTTAGGCTTGTTCTTGGCCTTGATTTCAGCCTGTGTCCTCCGACTACGGGTGACCCAAACCCCCCCGCTTGAACTCTCCAGGATTCTCAGGCATGTTTATGCATCCAATGTACCTGCCCAGAAAGAGACAAGTGCTTTAAAAAAAGCAAACATCAGGCCTAAAATGGAGTCACTTAGGCTAAGCCCCGTGTTAGCAAACCAGACTCAGTACTGAACCTTCTCTCCCGAGAAGGTCGCCTTTAACCAGTCAGTCTGGAATCACTGGTCAACCTCGTGAGGTGATCTGCTGGACAGACCTGCCTGCCCCAAAGGCAGTGTCTAGCCTTGTCTGACTCTCTGCCGATGGAAGTCTTCCGTGTTCGTGCAGCTCCTTTGTTTGCTGGGTGGGATGCTGTTCTGTTCACGAGTCACTGAATAAAGCCAGTAGGCCTCTGGACTTACTCAGTTAAATGTTGTCTTTTAGCACAAGTTTCCTCCATACCCACGTTTCTCACCGCCCACCCTCTGGTTTAGCCTCCATCGGGGTGATCGACAAACGGAGCACTTCCCTCTGGGGGAAGTCTACCCAGTTCTCAAGGGTCTGGGCTGGTTCTAGTCTCTCGTTCAGATGACCGTAATAGCCAGACACTGCACGGTTCTCACAAACGGGAATATTTGGCTGTTTTCATCCTCACCTGTCACATGTAGTACCTGCCACCTTGGTGCTTGTATTTCATCCATGTGGGTGTGCGCCTTGGGAGCAGGTGTCTCCTCTGCCTGGCGAAGTTCCTGGCACAGGGACGGTGCAGTGAACGTCTGTGGTGACCAATGTGAGGTGACTAGTGATTCAGGACACCCCTAAACTATGAAAACCCGCTCCTTCCTCAATGTTGCTTCCTGCTCGGGTGGTCATTCTCATGTAGAAGAACTTCCCTCGGATCTCGGGTCCTCAGGGCGGAGCTGTGCCCCTGGTGCACGTCACCCAGCTTCCCTCCAGGGACATGTTCGCCGCACGCTCCTGGCGCCGCCCTCCGCCCGCGTGGACGTCCGTGGAGGAGGTGTGTTGGAGGTGAAGCCCACAGGAGACGTGTCACAGTCCTGGGAGCAGTGCGGGCCCGTGGTCACAGTGCTAGGAAATGTCCCACAGCGTCACCCTGCTCTGAGCAGGTCTGTCGGTGGGAGGAATGTCAGTGGCCTGCTCCGAATCGAGCAACTCCTCAATTTAGTCCGGAAACATTCCTCTCGAATACGAGTCTCCTCCCTCCAGCTCTGTCGGTTTGCACATGCTGATGTGCCTTTGTCAGCCCGCGCTTTCTCGTGAGCTGCGTGGGACAGCACAGGGCACGCCGGGGAAGGTCCCTCTGTCACGGGGCAGCGTTCACGCCCACGCCAGCTGCTCACAGGGAGCCACGGGGACTGTTCTCAGTCCTGACCTTCCTTCTGCCCGCTGGGGACGGGAGAACACCAGCACGTTATCTGAGCAGAGGAGGATGCGGGCAGGAAAGGTGGCGGGCATGAGAGCTCTTACCCTTCATTATAGTCTAGTCGAAGGTGGTTTTCAAGAATCACATAGTCCTCTTAGTAGAATGTATGGAAATCTTCCAAACCATGGCAGATTTATGATGTTTATTGTTTTACTTACTGCTCTATAATTTTAATGCTTTGCATTTTTGCTGGGTTTGCAAAACAAGTAATCAAATAACGACTTGGTCATAGCATAATGATATTAATTATTTTATACTTTATGTTTGCAATAAACTCAAGGAAATTGTCTTGGCGACTTATGAAATTTGGCCTGAGAAACTATTAACGTGGTATTTGTTGGGGATCCTTGAGAGGACAAATAAATAACTACCTCTTTTCCCCAAAGAGCAAGGTCATTGAAGTCCCAATAGTATCTTCATTCTACGTAAAGCTAGTATTTCAGAATGAGCCTATAGTTGCGTACAGATGTGTTTCTGAGCGTTGATTCCTGATGTTGGGCCGGTCCTCCCACCGCGTCGGTGTGGACGAGGCCGGGTCACCCGGTCTCTGCCTCCAGTCCTCGGGGAGCGAGGGGTGCAGGGAGGCTGCTGTTACCTGGTGAAGCCCCTCTGCCTCAGAGGCACAGCAGGAGTGGACAGTCAGTGTCTGTCACCGCGGAAGTTTCCTAGGGTTTTCCGTCTTCATCCACTGGGCTTAACTATGGACTCTGCTCAACCAACCTTGCAGCCAGACCCCTGGGGAGGGGAGCAGCAGTGTCCCCGGGTGTCGCGCTGTCTCTGAGGGTGCTCTGTACCCACCATTGCGCACAGAGCGCCTGCTGGGACCCCGCAGGCCTGGGGAATTATACCCGAAGGCTCTCAGACAGGTCATCACACCAACCGGTTAGATAAGCCTCTCCAGGGCCACTGCAGGCAGGCTGAAGGTCACGCCCCAGGACTTCGCCTTCCCAGTGTGTTGGAGCACGCTCCGGGGGGCCTCCGACAGCGCACAGATGCAGGTCCTTCCGGCCATCAGTGCAGCCCCTTCGGAGGGTCCAGTTCCCAGGGAGGAACGAGTGCTGTTCACTCAGCTGCCCTCAAGCCTGCCCTCAGCTTCTGCTGTGAGATGCCCCAGGGAGCCCCTCCGGCTGCAGCAGGCTGGGTGGTGAGAGGAGGGTGGTGAGGGCCCCTCACACCTGCGGGGACAGAGCGTCAGGACCGCCACGGAGGGTGACATTCTGGGGTCACCAGTGGGAGGGCTGTCCCTGCCCTGGGCCTGGAGAGGAGGCAGAGGGCCTCAGACAGTGGGGGAAGGAGCTGTGTGGAGATACCACTTTACACAGACGATGCTGCCAACTCGTGGTGACCGGCAGGAAGGAGCCGGTGAACCCCTAATCCACGTCCCGCTGTCCCGTCGGGCTTTCCGAAGCTCAGACTCGGACTTGGTGGATAGCAGTCAGAGGGCGCAGAGCTCGGGGCTGGTCTGGAAAACCAGGAAGAAAATCTCCAGCTCCTAATTTCAAGTTTTAAAAAAAGCGCAAAGGAAATGAACTCCAAAATCAAAATCTGTTGCCTTGTGTCGTAAAACACCAAAGAAATCTATGCCCAAAATACAATCATTTTAACTTCAGACTCTGCTGACTCTTGGCTCGTGGGATTTCTTGGTGCTTGGGAGAGTCGGAGGTCCCCGAAAAGCTGCAGGCTCGGCTGTCTGCCTCTGCAGCGGGGGTAGGTCCTTCCGGGCCTCAGACGTTGTATCACCTTAATTTGCTCTTCACGAGACCCAGCTCCGGGCACACACAGCAGATTTCAAAACCAACCAACCCCTAGTCCCTAGAACAGTTACACAGGAGGAAATAGTCTCCCCAGGATCTTGTCTCACTAAACACTGTCCGTGAGAGACCACGGTGCAGGCTCAGTGGCATCTGGGTGAGGGCTCAGGCAGGACATGTTCTTGGCTTAGCTAGCATGCCAGTCGGGATGCCAGTTGGTCCAGAATTCATAAACTCAAATGGCAGAAATCAGCAAGAGGTTGATTTTTTCCATCATGCATATACGTAGGGAGAGAAGACCTACCTCTGCGTGTCTCTTCGTCAGGTGTGCCCTGGAGAGGCGCCGTCTTCCGCGGTTCAGAAGTGTCCAGTGGTGACAGTCGTGTTTGAGGCCCTTTCCCCCCGTAGCCAAAGCTCTCGTTCTGTGTGCTGCTCACCTGGGCCCACTGTACCCACCTAGACCTGGAGCCTTTCCAGAGCCACCAGCGCAGGTGGGACCCGGGGTGGCGCCAGGTGCCCTGTGGCCCGTACGCCAGGCTCGGCATGAGAAGACTGTCCCTCACTGCGGACGGGCGCCTGTGTGCTCCAGGTCAGGCCCAGCAGCCCCGTCCTCTGCCTGGTCCTGGTGGGTGTGGCTCTGCCCCCAGAGAAGGAGCCTCTGTCCTCAGCTGCAGTCGCCCTGAGTGGGAAACATTCTGGGCTCAAGGCTCCACGTCTTTCGAACAGAGCAGAACAAACCCTTGTGTGACTAAGCTTCAAGGAGGTCTGATAAAAGTTCCTACCCAGGACCCAGTTAAAAAAAAAGGAAGCTGGGCAGCTGTCGGAGCTGCCCCGGAAGCCCAGCAGCCTGGTGTTCACTGTCCCCGCCGTTCAATTACCCTCTCTGTCCTCGCGGAGACCCTGCTGTCATGCACCAGGCAGCTTCTCCCTCAGAAACAGTGCGGCCTCCTTCCCCAGCAGGGGTACAGCTGCGTCCTGACCTGGAGCTGGAGGAGGGTCACCTCTGGAGGGGAGTTTGGCTCCCGAGAAGGGAGAGGGGAAGGAGCCAACTCTGGTTGCTGGGGCGCCTCCTGCCACTGCTCCCCTCAGTGGCCCAGCTTGGCTTGGGGCTCGGCTGTGCAGGCCCAAGTGCAGACCCTCGATGGACAGCCTTTGCTGCCGGTGCGGGGCCTTCCACTGCCCTGGAGCAGCACTGCAGGCACAGGCTGTCCTCACAGTTCTCCCGGGCAGCGGGCGCCAGGCCTCCGGGCAC